GATACTGCCTCGGAAACCCAAGGAGGGGTCGCTATGAGTCAGGGCTGACTCGACGGCACATAACAATCAACTTCTGCAGTCTGAAATTGACCGAACATGCACTCAAGATGTGTTGATTATCACTGCTAACTGGAATGTAAAAGTTGGAAACTTCTGAAGAGTTACTGGTAGTTGGAAAATATGGCCTTGGAGATAGAAATAATGCTGGAACTTTCAATACTATTGACCACCTTATCTTCTAAACTTGCTCAAACTTCTGAAATACTTAGATAGCATTTTACACTCTCTCTCCATACTCCCCTTTTCATCCCATGTTCTCCCAAACTATAATGTAGTCAGTGTCACATGGGAACTCTGCTAATTTTGCTCTACAGAACCGATATCTGAATTTTCAGCTCTTCCATTTATAGACCTTGTACTTAGTAACTGCAAAATATTACTATGCTTTATACTGAGAGAGACTGGACTTGTTCATCACTTTGTCCTCTTCCCCTGGGTCAGTGATTGATGTATTTTAAGTCACTAATAAATGTTTGTTGTGTGGGAAAAAAAAAAAAAGAAAGAATGCTGGAGATCGCATGACAGAATTTTGCAAGACCAACAACTTATTCATTGCAAATACCTTTTTTCAACAACATATCACATCGACTTCACCAGATGGAATACACAGGAAATTGACTAAATCGGTGGTGAGAGGCAATGGAGAAGTTCAATATCTTCAGTCAAAACAAGGCCAGGAGCTGATTGTGGAACAGACCATCACCTGCTCATATGCATGTTCAAGTTGAACTGAAGACAAAGTAAGTCCAGAAGAGTCAAAATATGACCTTGATAATATCTCTCCTCGATTTAGAAACCATTTAAAGAATAGATTTGATGCACTGAACACCAGTGACTGAAAACCAGAGGAATTGTGGGATGACATCAATAACATCATCCATGAAACAAGAGGTCATTAAAAAGACAAGAAAGGAAGAAAAGACCCAAATGAATGTCAGAAGAAACTCTGAAACTTGCCTTTGAGTGAAGAGTAGCTAAAGTAAATGGAAGAAATGACAAGATAAAAGAGCTGAACAGAAGATTTCAAAGAGCAGCTCAAGAAGACAAAGCCAT